GCGACGGACTTTCCACCACAGTATCCCATCGCACTCAAAGTCAGCACAGACTTCAAAAGCCTGAGGTAGACACGTATATCCAGAAGGCGATGGATCTGAGGGCTCGGGGGGTGGAGGCGCGCTGGGGAGTGATGAGTGACAGCCTCGCTCTGGGACAACTGGGGCTGGATATGAATGGGTATGTGTGGGCAGTGATGCAGCATGTCGACAAGTTGCGGGAGACGATGAAGAGGATGGAGGGGGGGATGGAGGAAGAGATGGAGGCAAAGATGGAGGATAGGATGTACATGAGATGGATAGAGGGAGAGCTGGGCAAGTTGCGGGAGGCGAGGGAGAGGATAGAGGAGGCGGTTGAGGAGTTAAAGAGAAGGGCGGCGAGGGGGGAGATAGGGGGGATGGAGAATGGGATGGAGAATGGGATGGAGGATGGGATGGACATGGGATGGACATGGGATGGATGGAGATATGGAGGGAGACGATTGATGAGTCCGGAGGGGACTAAAGGGGTGAACTACCTAGTAGCGTTTCTATGCGGCATAAACTGTTTCAGTTTCGCGTCCACACGGAGATTTTTAATCCAGCTTCCATAGCTCTACAGCAGGGAAACTTAGTCTGTTACTTCAATAGCACGGAAAGGCGCGTTTTAATTTGCGAATGACGGGTCGTCAAAGCTATAGGCGGCCCTGCTCCCCCGAAGGGAATCGCGTGTCCAAGCCGAACCCTTTCTTCAATATACAAAAAGCGATGAACCGAGGAACATGCTGAGGATGTTGCATAGAAGGGTTGGGTTGCTGTTCATACAGGAAAGGCAGGTCCAGCCGCTGTCACGAACGGAGGCGCTGGCTTTTGCCGCACGAGGTAAGCAAGACCGTAGTCTAGAGCTTGACCTCAGCAGATTTCTGGCCTCGTATACGACCTTGATTTCTCCGGATGAGTGTCGACTATGCGAGCTCCGGCACGTATTGGTAGGGTGTGAGACAGAGTAAAGTGTCCGGTGATGGGAACGACTGCCTGGAGTTGTCGATCCGAAGCATTAAGGGCATGATGCCGAGGTTTTTGCATTGGATAAGCAACACATGGCCATTTCTTCGATGGTTTGTGGGTGACTTGATGGGAGTGTAGACAAGCTGTGAAGTCTTGCCGAAAGCACGCAACGGCGTCCAGTAGCGACCGGAGAGCCCCACTTTCCGTTCCAAGCTCCCCTCGCCTTCGCTTCGTCTTTCCATCTCAGCCAACCTCAGCCGCTTCAGCCATGTGCTACATATACCTCCCTTTGTCTCGTCCGAGCATGCTTCCCATCATACCTCACCTCCCGTCGCCTCCATATACCCCATGGCTCTTCTATCGCTCGCACACTTCTCCACAGCCTTGTTCACCCTCGTCATTGGCTACCGCGTCTACTGGGAAGCCACAACGGGCGCGACTCGTCGTAAGATAAAACAAAAGTACGGCTGCCAACCGCCAAAGAGATGGTGGTCATGGGACCCTATCCTGGGCTTCGACTGGGTGATCGGCAATTTCAAAGCCTACTCGCAGCACAAATTGCTCGAGTACTGGACCAGCATCCTTCGGCAAAGCAATGCACACACTGTCTCCCTCTATGTAGTAGGGAAGACAATCTTCCTAACCAATGATCCTGAGAATATCAAGACGATCCTGGCAACCGACTTTAGCATCTGGAGCTTAGGCAAACCGCGCATGGAGCAGATGACCGCGTATGTTGGCCGAGGTATCTTTACCAATGAAGGCACTGCGTGGAAGCACTCGCGGGAGCTGTTGAGGCCGTCGTTCAATCGCTCTCAAGTCTCTGACTTCCACATTTTCGAGAAACATACGGCTCGTATGATTGAACGCATACCTAAGGACGGGGCTACTGTCGAATTAGAGCCGCTGTTCCACCTCTTGACTTTGGCCATCTCTACCGAGTTTCTGTTTGGGCGAAGTACTAGTGCCCTTGATGACGCCCGCAAGAATGAGGAAGTGGAGCAATTCATTGACGCATTTGAGTACTGCCAGAATCCGTTCGAGAATGCGAACACGAGGAAGTGGGGATGGCGTGGTGCTCTCCTGCCGGATCTAAGGCAGAAGAAGTGTGCAAAGATCATCGAAGGTGGGTTCCATTTCACCTGTTGTTTTCTTGGGCGGTCCAGATGCAATGCTAACATGAGGCAGAATTTGCTGACAAGATATCGATGAAGAGGTAACCTTGAAGCGAACGCAGACTTCCGGAAACCATGAGACGGAACGATACGTATTTCTCGAAGAGCTCCTCGCCGTTACGGACGACCGTACCCAGATCAGGTCCGAGCTTCTCAACATTCTGTCGGCCGGTAGGGGCACCACAGCTTGCCTGCTGACGAACTTCTTTTTCGAGCTCCCTCGGCATTCACAGATCCTAGCACGCTTGCGCATGGAGATCAAGGACAGTGTTGGCGTCAACCCACCCACATACGAGCAAGTGAAGGAGCTCAAGTATCTGAAAGCTGTCGTCAACGAAACCCAAAGGCTATATCCTGTTGGTCCCATCAACACACGCGAAGCTCTCCAGGACACCATCATCCCTCACGGCGGCGGTCCCTCCTGCACCAACCCAGTTCTTGTTCCCAAAGGTGCCTACGTGGCATACAATACCTACGCCATGCAGCGTCGGAAAGACATCTTCGGCCCAGACGCAGAGTCGTTCAATCCTTCTCGCTGGCTGGAAAACGAACATCCATCTTCTCCCTTAAGACCTGGATGGGCCTATCTTCCGTTCAGCGGCGGTCCTAGGGTTTGTCTCGGCCAGCAGTTTGCTCTTACTGAGGCCAGCTGCATCATCGTCAGACTTCTGCAGGCGTTTCAAGAGGTGGAGAGTCGAGATGAGGAGCCTTGGAGGGAGAAGCTGACGATTGTGTGCTCCAGCCTGGGTGGCTGCAAGGTTGGCTTCCGGCAGTAGGCGCAAAACAACTTTAGAGGAAGGGCTGGCTCCCGACGACGAAGTATATCTACAGGTGTCGAGACACAAACGCATGGTCACGGATCGGGTTAGCGCCGCCCCACACACCCTTTGGTAAGGTCAACCTCGACACTCTTACAATCACCTGGGTGCGCATGTCCGGGATCCGGGAGGACTACAACTGGAACTTCTTTATCATGTCCGCACTCCTGCAGCCTTTGAGGCTTATGGTATACCGCCGCGAATCAGTGATTGCGACAGCCTCACTACGGTTCTCACCTGCAGAATCACGCCGCGCAAGCGTTGGAATCACTTACGGGCTGCCCTCAAGCAATGAAGACGGTCGAGAGCTGGAACTCGTACATGGTGACGTCAAAGTAGGCGAAACGGAAGAGAAACCAGAACTCACGGAGGAACTCCTGTCCAAGAACACCACAGAGCCGATGTTTATTGGAACAAAATACGGGATCCGCTTGGAAATTGCCGACGAAGAGCAAGGAGTCATGACCATCTCTGAGACCTTACCACAACTACCAGGTATTATTTCATGAGAGAATTGCATTTGCAGTTATCGGTTTTCAGGCTAACTTGAATCCTTTCAGAGAAACCCCCTACGAGCTTAATGGAGCCATCGAAAAGCTCCGAGAGAGCTCCAACAAGCTCAGAGAAACCACGGACGAGCTCAAAAGAACTCCCAATAAGCTCCGAGAATAACTCGAAGAGCGCTAAGCCCAAGTCTTCTCGCCATCACTATCGGCTGTTCCCAGACTATCAAACCTCATACCTATGGAACAACCCACGACATAAAACAAACTTTGGTGACGACTACGACCCCCACATTGACCTGGACGTCATCGAAGAGCGCTACCCAACACTATTGCCGTATTACGAGGCGTGGCTTGAACAGTATGAGACCGAGTTTGAGAAACAGGAATGCCACTTAGGCAGTGGTGCCGAAGTGTTTCCTGACGTCAACGACCGTATCGCGTGGGATGTGGAAGGGTTCTTCATTGCTTGTTAGCTGGCATTGCGGGATGATGTGGAGTCTGTGGAGTACACGCCTAGGGATACAAAGTATGAGATTGAGAAGGGAAGGATGGAAGAGGTCTTCTCAGAGTTTCTTCGAGACATCAGGAAGGAAAGGGAACAGTTGATGGGGGCTCCGGCCTGACTGTACTCTAGTCAGTCCCTTAGTCTCACTTGAATGTTACTGCTACGATGTAACTGATTATAGTAGTAGTTTCAATCTCTTTCAATGCACAAATGACACAAGGTCAACGCTAGCCCGCAACTGCCATGCCATCACGGTCTCCAATGCAGTGACCAAGAAGAGGAAAGGAGAGAAGAGAAGAGAAAGCAACAAAAGCGGCTGATGCCTGATAAGAAACATTCTTCCTGGTGCTCATACGCACTCTGCAACACCAACACGACGGCAGTTCGAAATGTCCCCAACCCTTGGAACTCTCTCAACCCTGGGACTATGCCGCATCCGAATCGGAAAGACCACGGAACGATGCACGCTCATACACTAAGTCGACATCAGCTGAAGACTGGCGCCATCTACACGAGGACATGAGAGAAGGCTACAACCCTCAATGTCAAGACCAACAGGCACAGAATCGAGGAATCCAAAACATGTTATTCTGTGACGGTTCAGGCACCTTGCAATCCTATTGGCCAGTATCAAATGCTGTTGCCTACTGATGCCTACACCGGTGCATTGCAGCCTACTGCTGCCTACTGCTGCCTTGTCAACTCCCAGCTATATAGGATTTGCTAGATACCTTCATTATAAAATCAACACAGTCTTTATCGCTATCTCGTCCCCCCATATATTCACTATCCGACAGGCTAGCTGTATGACACATAAAGACTCTTTACTCCAACCATATCTGCGCCACAGCAATGGCTGATTTGCCACCGAATCACCCGGAAACATAAGTCTGATATGTTTTTTCCTTGTATTTTAGTTGACTCATTCTCCACCCCCGCCCTGTGTTCGACAAAAGCAGGCCAATAGTATTAGATTAAACGTGCAATTTTTTTTAAGAAGAAAAAGATCATCGCTTCAGTGGTTTAGTGGTAAAATTAGCCGTTGCCAAACAGTTTCGGCTAGCCCCGTGTTCGATTCACGGCTGATGCATTTTTGCTTCCGGTCCCTTCCTACGGGTTTCCGAGTCCTGATGAGTGCCTACCGTAATATACGCTGCAATTCTTTTAGTCCCTCGCATTGCTTGAACGTTCTTTTGCCAGATATACCTCGCACTCCGCTCGCAGCGCATACAGTAGGTCATCCGTCGTTCGCTCAGTTTGACCCAGAAACGAATCCTGCACAACGCCATGGTCTCGCATTAGGGCCGCGATTTTCTGCTCGACAAGCCTCATAGAACCATAGCACCCGTTCCAACAATCTTGAATGAGGCCTCCGAAGACGGCATCTGGAGCCGTTGAAGGAAAATCCCCCCTATCAAGCCGTCTCCCACGAGCCTGTGGCTCAAGCTCATGATATGGGATGTGTCCGAATCGGATATAGTACATGCAGGATGCCAGAGCGTATTGTTCGCTGGCGGGGCCAGCAATTGGGAGTTCGTAATTCTCACCCAGTCTAATGTAAGGCTCGCTGGCCACGGCGACCTGATCGCCTATCTTGACCGCTGCATCGAAATCTCCTAGGCGAATATTTTCGTTGGTATCGAGGAGTATGTTTTCCGGCCGCACGTCACCGTGGACATATCCCAGCTGCTCGATCCAGGCAAGGGCACTCGCTAGCTGCCGGATCCATTGCACTTGCTTGTTGGGAGCGACGGAGGATGAAGCCTGTAAACGCGTCTCCAAAGTCATGTTCTCTCGGCGCATGAAAATACCTTCCGAGGCGATGAGGATACCGTCGACGATGTTGGGGCGACGATGTTGCATCAGAACTCGATATACAGCCTTCTCCGACTCGATTCTCTCGGAGCTTTCTTCTATCCATTCGACATGGGACGGATGCGGGTTGTCGAGGACGAAAGGGAATTTGAAAGGTTCGCGCTGAACGGGTCATCCAGTCATCCTTCGGCTCTTGTAATTGAGTGGCCACAGTTTGATAGTCGGCTCAAAGGCCTGGGTATCTTGTTTTTGGCTTCGAACCCAGTGGGACGCTGGGTTGCACGAAGGCGGGGTCTGGGAAAACAATGCGGCGCTGGCCAAGCGGGTCGATTTAGGGTTGGCTGACTGTTACAAAGTATGCAAGGTGCTGTGTCAGGGGGAACGGGCCTTGCTCGCCATCGTTACGCTCGGTCTGCGAAGGAATCCCTCGCTAGGGTATCCTGCAGTCTGTGCCTCTTTTTTGCATTAGCAGGCTCAGTACAAACTCAGTAATGGACTAAATGCCATTATTGGTTGGCCTGCTGCAGCTTATCACACCCCGACTGGTTGTATACAGCGCTACTGCAGGAATGATCAATTAATCTAGAGCTTGTATTTATTATAGTTATAAAAGAGATTTTAGTATAAGGATATAAGCTATATCAGTGAGCCCCCATGTTCGGTTCACGGCCGATGCAGTTTCTTCTCCTCCTACATGTACAGGAAGAAAGTATCATTTTTCCGTTCTTTGCCATCTTCCTCAGTCTCGTAATACTCTTTCCTCTTCCCTCTATTTCTACTTTCGCACTTTCACGAATCGCTCTTTCAACCCTTGTTCACTGCCGTTGTTAACCTTTTCGCTCTTCTGACACTGCAGAAGGCACCAGGCACCAAAATGCCCGACTACAGAAAACACTTCACATAATGCAGAAAGAGGGAGGGTATTGCTCAGCTGACTTTAGTATTTCATCATGTCGCTTCCAAAGTTTGTGCACATCTCGCAAAATGAGGTCCAACCATGATTTCGGAAAAAAAGCAGTGAATCAACGACGCTGAAACGGCATGATGAGAAACATCGGACTGTAGATCGTGAAAGAAGGAGGTTGTAGTACAAAGGGGGATCATCAAACGTTCTGCCTCAGTGTCTCTACCATTCAAGCTCTATATTTCCTCGACTTTCGACAATGCTCATCTTCGTTCGCCTTTTCTGTGGACGACATACTTTGAAAACAAGGACAACGGGACTTCGTTCAAGCTTCATATTCAATCGTCGACAGACATACTGTTCCAGGTAGCTGGTGCATGACATTAAAGTTAGAGCATACAGACGTCTTCGTATCAGGTCATCGTGCCTCAATCCATGCTATCGAACCTTCCCACGTGTCTCTCTCCCCATCTCATTCTCCAATCTACACCACCCCCTTCCTCTGCCCAAATCCCTCAAAACCTCTTCTCAAAAACAACCTCATACTCCTCATCCACCACCTCCCCACTCTCATTTACCAACTTCTTCGCCCCCATTTTGCAAACCTGTATCCTATCAATCACCACCTCCTCCGCCCACACAAAATCCCTATACCTCTCAATCAACTCCCTTGCATCGAAATTCCGCCAACTCTTCGCATTGACCCCATGACCCTCTGCCCGCTCCGGCGCAGACGCCTCACCCTCCTCCCCATCCCCATCCCCAACCCCTTCTGCACCCTCCCCCTCACCCTCCCCATCCCTCGACGCCGGATACTCAAACACCTCCTCCCCCATTTCCGCAGACATAACATCCCCCTTCGGTCGTACCCGCTCTTTCCCTTTCCCTTTGCCCTTCCAACCCCCGCCTGTCCCTTTCTTCCCTCCTCGATTCTTGGGCTTCGCGTAGATGGTATTCAGCACCGTGGCGTGTAATCTTAACGCTCTCCCCTCCTTGACCACAACCCCCCTCTCTTCGAAATAACTTCTCAACCGATTCGCAAAACCCGGTAAGCGGCCGGATGGATCCACGGGCTCGGCGTAGAGAATCGATGTTTTGTGCGGCGCTTGCATTGGGGTGAGCGAGCGGAGGGAAATGGTGAGAGGATGGGGTTGGGGTTCTTGATCCGCTTGTGGCTCCGGTTCAATACCCGTCTTGCCAACTTCTGCTGCAGCAGCCGGTTGAGTAACCCCAGTGTGCGGTTCCGTCGTAGTCGTTTCTTCCTCGAACAACGCGGATACGTCCAAGTTTTCTACCATCTCCCCCACCCCCTCCACCCCCATCCCATCCAAACTCATAACCCCGAGCGTCAAATGCAGCGTCCCCACCGGCCGCACCGCCTTTCGGGGCACTACACCGCTTTCTTCCACCTCCTTCCCCAATCTCTCCAACCCCGTCTGTAACTGTGGTCGCGTGGTTTCCGTGACGAGCGGTAGACAAAGGAAATGCGTGAGTTGTGGTTTCTTGCCGGCTTTGGGGTGGTTGTTGTTATGGTGTTTGTTGTTTTTGGATTTGGATTTGGATTTGCTTTTACTGGAGTCGTGGGATCGACGTGTCATGGGAGCGGAGATGGGGGTGTTGAGGGGTGATGTTTCCATGATTTTGGATGTTTTGATGTAGAGTTGTGGTTTGCTTGGGATTGTCGTTCTGCTGTTGTAACAGCGCAGTGTGTGGGGTGTCCGGCGAGCTACAAGAATGGAAGGTGTGAAGGAGATAGCCAAGGATACTGCGTAGCTGGAACCCGGGAGACAGACACCACGAAAGCCCGGCTGCAGAAACATAAGATGGTGTATTTAAGTCCTACGAACGTCAATGAATGGTAAGCTATGTACTCTAGATGTGAGGTCGAGCAAGCGGAGCTTAATCCCTGCACGCCCGTTCGCTAGCGACCTATTCGTCATAGCTCCGATGACGTAAGAGTAACATAACCTCGAAAAAGGTGGGGCACAACGTGGGGGAGGACCCGTCTCATGCATGACTCTCATGGCCATGCAAGTGGTTAACAGCTTCAGGTGGACGGGGGAGAACATCGGAGGAAGATCGAACAGTCTAAATGAACGTTTCCAAATTCGCATATGGGAAAGACTCAGATTTGCCACCAAGGGAGAAGCACGCATGCAGGAGAAACAAGCAGGGTCCGCGCGGGAATTTGAGCAGTCATAGTCATCTGAGCGGCAGTATAGAAATCCCCCCTTCCACTCCCAGCAAGCCGAGCCTCGAAACGTACGTCAAAAAGCGCAAACCAAAGCCGCAGGTATAATAGTCTTGGGTGAGGTTGTCGAGGAGAGGCAAAGTACATGTCGACAATGAGGGGTCTTGCGGCATCGGCATCCTACGAGGGCATCCGGGATTCCGGCGAGCGAGCCTCATCACGCGCGTGTCGTCCAGGAGGCCGTTCGTGTCGGACATGGGTGCGCAGCCCAGCAAAGAGAGACCAGGACGCCCCTTATCATGATTCATCGTGGTAGAAGGTCTTCAGCACCTTCTCGACTTCCCGGAACTCCTGCTTTGCCTGCTCGATGGTCGTCTTCAGCTTCGACAGCCCTTCCTCCTCGGTTATGTCCTTGGTGCCCGATTCGTCCTTCTTGTGGCCGTAGTGTTGGATCTTCTCGCACGATGCTTGCACCTTGGTCAGACCGAGTGTTGCCGAGGAGCCCTTGAGGAAGTGGCCGAGTTCGGACAGGGTCTTGAGGTCTTTCGATTCGCTGGGCTCTGGGTCAGCTCATCCCGGACAGAGGGGCACCCGAGGGGACTCACAGGTTGGCGTCCATCTTCTCGAAGGTGCTCTCGGCCTGTGTGAAGAAGTCGTAGACTATGCTCTTGCTGAAATCTCTCTCCTCCTCGTCGTCGTCCATCTCGAGGATCTGCTCGAAGGTGGTGGGATCGATCTTGTCCTTTGCGCCGGGGATGTCCATGATGCCGTCGTCTCCGCTCGTCTGGGGATAGGAATGTCAGAACAAAGATTCACTATGAAGAATAACAGGGCGGCGATTAGAAGCAGGGCAGAGGGTGGTTGCGGAAAGCGGGCAGCTGTGTCGTGCAAGAGGGCAGTGGCAGTGACAGCGGCATCGCGCCTGTTACTGCGGTGGTGGAGGGGTAACGTACCCTGTCATCCTTCTCGACCGAATCGGCTCTAGGCATTTTTAGCCGAGCGCTGAGCCACGCGAGCGAGGCTGGACCTGAGAAACGTTGTCGTAGTAGTGAGTGCTTGTAACTGTCGTCGGTCAAGCGACGCTGCGAACTGGGACCGTGGGCGGAATAAAGGGAGAAATGAGAGGCGCGTCGCGGGCCGTCAAGCTTCGACCACTTCTTTGCGCGGTGCCGGGGGTGCC